AACCCTGAAGACAATTTTGAAGACATCAAAACATTTTGCTTCAACATTTTCTCATAGAAACATTTTGATTTGAAATGGTTCCTTTCAACAGCTACTAGAATTAATTCAAAGTTTTCCAAGACTTGAAGCCTAAATGAAACATATTGTTCTAGGTCAGACAAAATACTTTGTTCCACCTCAAACATGTTGCTTTTTTTTCAGTTGGCCAAAAATTTCAAAGTTTTTTTTTTTTTTTATGTTGAGTCCCCTGGAAATCAACTGAATTTCCTTAAAGTTTTGGATCCACAAGTGAACTGAAGAATCAGTTATTCACGCATGCCTGTTCCCAACCGAGTGAAAGGAGCCTGTCTTGGCCCAGGGTGAGGGGGGGTTACCTGGCATTTGAGTTTGGCTCCGTAGTATGTGTCTGCCTCAGAGGAAACCATGAAGCAGTCCCCATCTATCCTCAGGTCACAGGCATGGAAGGGGAACTGGATTTTGGCTACGAAAAGAGAGAGGGAAAGCTCAGTCCTTATTCTGGTTCCAGTGACTTGTAATCCCTGCATGCAGGAGAGAAATGGAGGCTTCTATATAGAGACAAGAGGGCTGTCTCTTGTAACAGTTCCCTGCCCAATAAACGTGAACCTGCATTTCTCCCATGGAGACACTGGGTGCTGCTATTATACCAGGCATTGCTCAGACAGAGCAGCATTTTCACTGGGTATGTAAGTGACTCTTAAAGGAGCCAGCATCACTACGCAGAAGCTGGAAGTTCATTTAGACCCCTGCATCTCTCCCTCTGGGCTAGCTGATCAGATCCCTCCTCACTGACAGTGCCCTCTGCACAGAGATCAAGGGCTCCCACAGGAAACTGCCTTCTTCCCATCTCCTTCTAAACATGCATTTAGTGATGCCATGATCTTCTTCCTTGAACCAGCCCAGAGATCGGCAGATACAGCCAAAAACCAGGGTATTTCACATCTGGCTCCAAACTGTCTCCCCAAAGCCGTGCCCACAGGATGCAGAAGGGGAAACCATACAGCTACCTCTGAAGTGTCAGCTATAGAGGCAGAAAAGCAACAGATTGAAAACCACCCCTTTCCCTGTTACATAGATTCGCTAGCGAGAGAAGCAGTCTTACTTGCCTGTGTATTTATTAGGAGTGTGTAAAGTGGGCCCTATTCAATTCGGATTCAGCCCCAACCAGGGACAGTGATTCGATTCGTTGATTCAAATCACTGTCCCTGATTTGATTCGGCCAAATCTAAATGTGAAGATTCAATGCTGATTTGGAGAATCAGTGATTTGGACATAGACACAGCATTTAAAAGTTTTTTCTACGTACCTTGAGGTAGCAGCTGTGGCTCATGATCACTGTGATACTGGGGCGCATGGAGCATCCCACAGGAGTGCAGGGCTGGGGAGGGAAGCTCCACGTGCTTGGCGGCAAACCCAGAAGTGGACCAGAAGTATGTCCGGTCCATTTCCGGGTCTGCCGGGGAGTGCACCGGGGGGGGGGCCTCCCCATGCCTCCCCAGCTAGGTGATTGGCCGCAGGGGGACCCCGGGTGCCTCCAGCAGACCCAGGAGGCACCAGTCACAGGGCTGGTGAGGGGGGGGGGCATGGAGGGGCCCCCCAGCACGCTCCCTGGCCGACCCGGAAGTGGACCAGAAGTGCTTGTGGTCCACTTCCAGGTCTGCTGCCAAGCATGCTGGGAAGCCCCCGCGCTTCTGCACCCCAGCATCGCAGCGCTCACGAGCCCCTGCTACCGAGAGGTATGTAGAAAAAACATTTGAAGCTGTCTCTTATGTCCGAATCTCTGAATCTCTCTGAATTGATTTGGAGGGTTCCGATTTGATTTGGGAAGATTAAAGGGTCCTCTGATTTGATTCAGAGATTTGGCCACCAAATCGGGCCGAATCTCCACCAAATCGAATCAGGGACTGAAGCTTCACACAGCCCTAGTTTTTATACCCAGGAAAAATGAGTGAAGAATATTTGCCGAGTTATAGGCCTCACTGGAGCATGGCCTACAAAGGCCTGCCAAGGCATCAGCGCCAAGGTATCCAGGGCTGCCTGACCCCAGCTTAGATGAGCACTGCACATTGGATGGCACAATTCTGGGTCCTTTTGCCCCATGCCCCAGCAATGGCCAGCTCCGAACAACATTCCCAGAGCTGATAGCTGTATCCTCTGCAGAACCTGCCCTAGAAGTACTGCCCAGCTGGTAGCAATCTACACATGAGAGAACCCTGCAACTCCTCACATGCCACAGCAGATGTTGCCAAGTTTCAACTCCAGCCCTAGGAATTGGGAGCTCTTGGCTGGGGCTAAGCATAAACTGATGCAGTAAAAGGACATGGATTTGGGGGTAATATAATGATTAAAAGACTTTGCACATAATTCCTGCAACTCCAGCACACTGGCAGCCTGAGGGAGGAAGGGTCTGCATCCCGCAGCCAGACAGAGGATGTAACAGACCCCGGCAGCAGAGGTTAGGCTGCAGTGCAGGTGCATCCCCACACACTCTTGGGCAGCACATGAAACAGCATAAAGTCCTACCATGGGAACCATGTGAAGTGGTTCCCTGTGCCCACCAGGAGGGCAGCAACCTGCACTGGATCCCTGGGCTCTTTTGAAGGTCACCTGGGCCAGTTCATGCACTCCCAGACCAGGCAGGGCCACTCCTTCTCAGGAGGATAAAGGGAAATGTCTGAACTTGGGAGCACCCACAGCAAAGGTTGCCAGGACTTACTTCCACACTCAGCTCCGCCATAGCCGATGTCACAGAGGCAGGAGCATTCCTCCTCCTTGAACTTCCCGTGGAAGCACTGGATACTGCACTTCACTGTAAGAAACTCACATGTTAGTCTCTTTTCATGGCCTGTCACTGTCTCTCCAGACCCTGGCAGGGTCCTCAGCAGAGCCAGCCCAGCCCCTGCACAGAAGTTGGGAGGCACTGGTACCTATTCCATAGCCACTGCTAAGCCTGGATTCCTTTCCTCAGCCTTATTTACTGTGGATAGGAGCAGGGTCAAACTGGGAAATCTCCAGCAGGGACTCGGCAGGATTGTCTCAGGGCTGGGGGGAGTCTGGAAAGTGCTGGAGTAAAGACATGCACCTATGCTCATGCACAGCAACCTGGACTGCTGCACTTTTTCCCAGTGTGAGGCAGCATATCGGCTCACATGCCCTGCAATGGGAGCTCCCCAGATCCCAGGCCTCGCCCCAGAGGCAGCCCCTGGAATGGGGCAGTTCCCCTTCTGGAGGCAGTTGCCCCAGGACGGCCATTTAAGAACCTTCACCTGTACGGACTGGAGCCATAGAGAGGAGGAGGGGGTTGGGCTAGACAAGCCACTTCCATGATTCCTGGGGAGCACTGTACCTGTTTGCTATTGGGTTCTTGGACAGTCACACATCCTTTGTTAAGTTCTTATATGGCCTTATGAGTGCACCCCAATGATTCTATGTTTTGGATAAAAGAGTCACTTTCCCTCACCACAACCTCCCTGGAATCTCTCCAACTACCTGAGAGAGATTGCGGAGCTGTTCCAGATATTTTTCTTCTTCTCCATCAATATTTCACCTTTCCCTTCATCCCATTCTGTCCCCTCAAGGACCCTCTAGAGCAGGGGCAGGCAATTATTTCGGGTGGAGAGCTGCTAACTGAGTTTTGGCAAGCCATCAAGCATGACAGGCAGCCAGGGGCAGATAAATATTAATTTTCTAAATTTTTTAGGGGCCCCGCAGGCCAGATAGAATGACCTGGCAGGCCGCATCCGGCTCGCGGGCCGCATTTTGCCCACCCCTGTTCTAGAGGTGCTCCACGTGCCTAAAGGAGCATGCAGACCACAGTGGGAGAAGCACTGCCTAGGATATGAGAGGACTATGGAAGTTCTCTAAGATTAAAGAAGCTGGGATGTGGGAACCCAGAGGGGCAAGACTGGGGAAGGAACTTGGGTTAGAAAGGGATAAGGAGGCCAATACAACTTATTGGGATGTCCTGGGATGAGTTGGGGGCATCCACATATCACACTATGCAGCCCCTCGGCCCTGTGAGGGGTCCTTGCCAGTAAGGGGTCCCAGAACCACCCTTGAGATCCTGGGCTCATTGTAGCCCAGGCAGTTTGGTCTCAGGGAGCGAGGACCCAGGGAACCTAGGAAACATAAATATTAAAAAGGAAACAAGGGAATTTCCAGACAAAGCCCTCTGTTACCTGGGGTTTATGCTGAACAGATCATTTTGGTGACTGAGAGGTAGAGAAACCACTGTCCACAAACCCATGTGCTGAAACATTCAGGCAGTTTCAAAGAGAAGAGGGAACTTAAACCCCAAACATTTGAAAGTCTGGAAATATCCAAGTGAAGCACCCAACCCCCCTGACTGGAGGCTGCTGTCACAGCAGCCTCCAGTCTTCTCTCCTCTGCTGTCCCAAGCCTCTTAGTCTGATCCTGAACTCCCAACACACAGATGCAGACAGACAGACAGACACTGCCCGCAGGCACAGCACAGACAGCACGTGATACACACATGAGCACAATCCTCACACATCCACATGAACACTCATTGCAGAAACATAGACACCAGAACAACCACTGGGCAGTGAAGACTTTCTGTGGCACAGATACCCACACCCAGGCAATACCCCTGTCTTGCTCTCTCACCTTGGCAGTACCTGCCTGTGTACCCTGGTGGACACTTGCAGTGGCAGGAACTCATATTTAACTGCCCATTGTTCCTGCAGCTCATCCGACATGGGTTCCTGGGTACTTCTGAGCAGACAAAATGCACAAATGCAGCTGTCAGACCTGGGTGCCCAGTTGTGCAGCCAGTGCCCAATGTTACACTGGCACAGGCCAGAAGCAGTCAGGACAGGGGTGGCCTGGGGGATCATTAGCAGTGGTGAGGGAGAGCAGTGGGCACTCACCACAGAGCCCCCCACTGTGATCCCACGATTTGAAGCATCCAGAGAGTCCTGAAGTGCAGAGTGAACACCAGGCTCCCTTCTTATAAGGGACAATCGTCTTCCCATTCATCTCCCAGTTCCCTCTAGGATGGAACAAACAAGGAGCCTCGATGACAGGCCCTGCCCATGCCTCAGCCCTACCTCCGCCCTTCCCCAATCACTGGGGCTTTATGTCCTCTTTATTGTGGGCCAGCTTAGCACAGCTGCCAGCCACATCCCTCCCAAACTACACAGGGATCCGTATTGCCCAGGTGCCATGACTCCCTGCTTCCTCTGTGCCTCCTGCAGGAGACCAGCTGTTTACAGCCCATGACCCTGAAAAGCCTGTAGCAGGACCCCAAATACCTGGGGGCACTTGTTCTGGTTTAAAGGGGAGGAGGCCTACTTCCAAAGCAAGGGAATTAAGTCTGCTCACTGATAAGTCCCATCTCCTTTTTAATTCCTGCAGTCAAGCTGCACTGACCTCCATTTAAGTCCCACCCACTTTATATTTCCCTGCTGTCAACCCCTGATATACTTTCATTTCAGACCCACCTCCTTCATACTTCTGTGCTACCAACTCCCCCCACACAAAAAATGATTTAATAGGCCATGCTCACTGTACTATAAGCCGCACCCACCTTCTAAGGCTTCCCCCCTACTTCTGCATGTGTCTTGCAGTCCCCAGTGGGCACAGGCTGGTGGAAGATGTAGGTTTCCCCTCAGACAAAGTTGGGGAGGACATGGGTCCAGCAGCCCTCCCAGCAGCCCCACTGGAGAGCTGTGAGGACCCAGTGTGGGTACACAGCCCAGATGCCTTACCCTGGGGAGTAGGCGCAGACAAAAGCCTCTCTCCTCTCTTGGCCCTTGGCGCAGATGTGCTTTCCACAGCCCAGCCTGCTGGAGGTAGCCCAGACCAACTGCAAGAGAGACCCCAGGCACACAGCCTCAGTGCACTGCACAGCCCCATGATGCCTGGGATGCAGGGGGTTCCCTTCCAGGCAGTAGGTGCTATACTGGCTGGGCAGTATGTATCTGGGAGAGAGTGCTGCTTGGTTGCATTTCCAGTCCCTGCTGCCATCAGAGCCAGTGATCACAACCTCCCAGGCCATGCTGAGCATGGGGAGGGCCAAAGAGAGCCAGAAGCCATTCCCTACAAGGGCAGAACATGCCCAACCCCATGCCCAAGCTTAAGCAGACAGGTCAGAGGATCGTAGGGTGATGCTCTGCAGGGAGCTTGTGTGAACACTGAATCTTACATCATGTGTGCATTTGCCCCACCCCTCCAGCTTGTTCTACAGCTCACAGCATGTATCCTACCTCTCATGACTGCTGCAGCCTCTCTGGAGCCTGGGAAAACCCCTCCCTGTCAGCTTGGAGGTGGAGGAGGAAGACATTCCTTCCCACTCCCTAGCCCTGTGAAATATGGCTTACTCTCTTCTCCAGCTCCTACTGGGGGCAGGTGCTGCGTGGGAGCTGACTCAGCCCAGGGCCCAGCCCTCCCACTGGAACAGCTGCTCGCGGGGGAGGTGAGGTGACTCCCTTCCCCTTTATGCCCCCATGCATGAGAGCCAGCCCAGGCCCTCCAGCTACTGGGAGCGGAGGCCTCCATCTGGCCCTTCACACAGGAGTCTCAGCAGAAGAGCAGCTGGGCAGTTTGGCACCCTGGCCAGTGGCAAAGCAAGGGCCAGCAGCAGCAGCTGGGTTGGCAGCAATGACAGCTACTATTTGGAGGTGACTCCCTTGCCCTTTATGCCCCCATGCATGAGAGCCAGCCCAGGCCCTCCAGCTACTGGGAGCGGAGGCCTCCATCTGGCCCTTCACACAGGAGTCTCAGCAGAAGAGCAGCTGGGCAGTTTGGCACCCTGGCCAGTGGCAAAGCAAGGGCCAGCAGCAGCAGCTGGGTTGGCAGCAATGACAGCTACTATTTTTGCAACTCCCACTAAGTTAGAGCCTGAGTCTGCCTGGTGCCCCCACCTACCTCTTAGGCTATTGGATTTCATCAGTGGACCCAACTACATCAAGTGACCCTGGGAAAGGCCTGTCCTGGTTCAGTGGTGTTAGGGCATCCCCTAGCTCCCCTTGCACTTGGCCTGGCTCTAATTAGCTGGAGCCCATCTAGGCACTGCTGGGATCTTCTTTTAATTCAGAACTGCAGTCCAGGATGCTTATGTGGTGATCAATAAGGATTGAGGCACATGTAGATCCTCCCCTCCCCAGAGCCCTGCAGCCCTTTACAGACCATGGGCCAGTGCCCCAGATGGGCAATGAATGTCAGTGAGGTCTGTGCCAACTGAAGGTGGGCACCAGCAAGGTGCTGACTGTGATGTTCCTTCAATCAATGCCTGTCAGCCTCTCCCACAGGCAGTACCAGACCTAGCACCAACCAGGATCTCCAGCCCCCCGCAAGGTAAGCTGCCACCTGCCTCCTCCCCTTTCTCAGTCCAACACAGCTTTGTGTCTAGAAGATTACTGTCCCCAGTCCCTGGCATGGGGGTAAGACAGATTCCAATATTGCAGGCCCCTTGCCACCATGCCCTGACACTTTCTGTTACATACTGAGTGTTATGTATATATATCAGGTACTGCTGCCAAAAGATGGCACTATTCCATGTTGTGTTAATTTCCCATTGCTTTCTCTTATTTTGCTTGAAGAGCATTAGGTGAAGCCCTTATTTTGGACAATAAAGATGGGTGCCATGTTGTTCCCTGTCTGATCTCATTGGGACAATGCTGACCCACTGCTTTCCATCTGTCCCAGATATCTGTCCCCTGAGCTCTGCTTATGTCCCTCAGCCCCATCCCAAAGCCCCCAGCAATCCCAGTCCTCAGGTCCTTTGCCTCAACACAGGACTTGGATGATGCCCCTCAGACCTGCTTCATGGCCCCCCTGTTATCCCAACCCTGGACAACCCACAGACAGCCTAGTCATACTGAGTCATTGGTACACACAGATGTCTCCCCCCTGCTCTCTCTATTCACTCACCATTGGAGGATACTGGGATTTTAATGTTAACCCTTGGGCTCTGCCTGGGAGAGGCCTGTTCACTGCCCCCTACTGTTTGCAAAACCAGCAGGGTCAGGTGTGACCCTGTGCCTCAAGGGAGAGTTACCTGGGTGTAGTGGCTGCAGGTAGCATTCTCCAGGCACTGTGCTGCATGGTAGTCATAGCTCTGCCCTTCTCTGAACCATAGCTCCACCACATCTGTAAAGGTAGCCACCCCCTCGGGGAGCAAGAGAGCATTCCAGCTGATGTGTTGGGCCTGGTGTGCTGGTGGTGGCAAGGCCTTCCCAAGGCAGCTGGCTGCTCGCTCCTGTGCCAGATGTGCCAGCTTGTCACTCCAGTCCTGGCAAGGGGAAAGGCAGGTATTAGCACGTGACCTGCTGAGGGGCTGTCAGGGCAGCCTGGGGGCAGGGGCATGTTGGTGGAATAGCATGGACTCCAAAGAGGCTTTCTGAGGCTGTATCTTTAATACTGATAGGAATAGCTGTCACCCTGCCTCATTCCCTGAGAATGATCCAAGGAGCACAGGGAAGGTTTCTCAGGTCTATGGTGATGGGAAAAGCTCGGGTCCCTAATCACTGCCCACCCACTGCCTGGCCCAGAGAGTGCTCAGATAAGCCTAACTGAAGGGCTACATTTCAGGATGCCCCTGACAGACATGAACAGACCCCCAGGGCCATGAGGTGATGGGGGAGCCCAAGGGTACATTGCCCAAGGCCAGGCTGACCCAGACAGTCAGAGGCCTGGGCTGGGGACACTGCTCCTCCTTTGAACTGAGACTCCCTGCCTTCCCCCTCAATGCACCTGGCCAGTTAAAGAGGCTGAGAGTGGAGGGGTCTGATCCTCTTCTTCCCCACCCCTGCAGTGTGGACTGTGCTCCTGGGGGTAGCCAAAATGAGCGGTGCCCTTCACTGTGCCCTGCGCTGGTGGGGCGGGGAGGGTGATGGCTCCTTGTGCCCCCTCCTTGCCTGTGCACCAGGGCACAATTTAGTGCTTTGTCTCCTGCAGCCTGAAGAAAGCAGCCTACGCAAAGCCAAGCAGGTCATCCAAGACTGTCATTCATTCTGTGCCAGGCCGAACAGGAATACCCAGAGCAGGGGCCTTTTGTCCTCGGGCCCTTTGTTGTGCTGGGGCTCTAGCACAGACGGTGTTGCTGCTGTGGAAATCTGGCCCTAGCCTCTGTCTCCAGCACAACTCCAAAGGGGGCAGAAAGAGATGAACTGCAACTGGGTTTTCAAAAGGTGGCACTGATTTGAGGATCCTGGCTGAACACTCCCATCCCCACTCCCAACCATGAGGGGAGCTGGGATCTCATCCATTGTCCCAGACCCACAACCAGTGTCTGCTTCAGCAGAAGCCTTTCTGGGAAGCAGGATGTCCCCATTCCCTCTGCTGTGGGGAGCAAGGTCTTGTCAGCAGCAGTGCCCGGTGGTCCCTCTACTGGCCCCATGGCCACACCCCCTCCCTAGCAGATTGTCCCAGTGCCCCTCTCATAGGGCTGATGCCCCTTAGGAATTGCTGGTTCCATTCCAAATCCATGGGAGCAATATTGCAGAAGGTAATCAGCCTGCAGGTGGGGACTTAATTAGGAAAAGAAGGTACATGTAGTGGCTTTTAAGAGGCTGCTATGGACAGGGAGGACGAAGACAGGGGAAGGCAACCTGAGCAACAGGATGGGGCTTTGAAATCTGGCTTAGGTGAATTCAGTGCCACAGCCCCTCTCTGCTTGATCCAGCACATGGACTATATGTGGGAGGAGAAGGAGGGAGTGCTGGGGCAGTGGAAGGATGAAGCAATTGTTTGTTACTGAGCAGAAAAACAACTTGTTCCAGGAAGCTAAAATTGCAATTTTTATGGCTCTTAGCAGAGCCAAAAGGAGGATGAAATAATGAAGTGTTCTCACAGGTCAGGAGCCAAGGGCAAATCTGTGCTGGCCTGGGAGTCACACTACTGCTTGGCTCCAAAAGAAGCAATGCCAGTGCCCTGCTCCCTCTACTATGGGTGCCATAAGGCTCTACAGCAGGGATAGGCAACCCATGGCATGGGTGCCAGAGCATGGCAAGCAAAGGCACTTTGGTCGGCACATATGCCTTGGTGCAGATGATAGGGAAAGGGCCAGGGCACTGCCATAACAAGGATCCCCTGCCAGCCACCCCTGGCACTTCAACATTTTACAAATCGAGGTCATGGGTGTTTTTGGCACTCTGTCTAAAAACACTGCCACCCCTGCTGTAAAGCAGGATGAGATTTAAAGGGCTGCCATTTGTTCTCCTGCCCAGGACCTCAGATTTGTAACACAGAAAAAGTCTAACATTGCCAGTTCGTGCACTGCTATAATGGCTTCCTTATATCTAGTACTTTTCTTAGGGACCCAGTTTCTGGAGTCATGGGATTTAATCAAATATCTCTGCTTTCAAGAAAAGAGAATTAAAATTTCAGCCCTCAGAGTTGTAGAAGAGAGGTGGAAAATATGCCACAAATGCCCCCCAAAAGCTTGGGAACTACATGCCAAAGAAAAAACAAAAATATATGTTTTTAAGAACCCACTTGGACCCCGCTGCTGCTCCTTCTCTCCACCACCCAGGAGCAGTGTGGGATGGGAGAAGCTCCCCTGCCACTGAAGCCCCTTCCCACCAAAAACCACCGAAGTCCCCCAGCTCTGTGGGCCATAGGTTGTCAACCCCTGTCATAGGTAATGAAAGGTTCAGGCACAAGAGCCCACTGTGTATTGCTACACAAATATGCAGCCAGAAGGGGGAGCTGCTCAGAGCTTTGTTACTGGAGACCCCACAAAAATGTTGATGCTTTTCATTTGTTAGTTGCTGTTCAGTCCTTTACATCAATGATTAACAGGTAACCAAGCTGTTTTCTGGTTTGCTAAGTTCCTGCTTCTGCTAACATGGAGGTTAATGGCAAACCTCTCAGCAAGGTCAATGCAGACAGGATCAGGCCTGAAATGTGTTGTTTATTAATCTGCCCAGTCCCTATAAGCCTGCTGCTTAAAGGGATAATGCCAATGGTTCCCTTGCTGCCTTCCTTCCAGTTGTCCCACAACTGGACACCAGCGCTCATCCATGATAATTATGAATGACCTGGAAAGA